AAGTCAATGCCTTCCCTTAAATGGGTTTTTGCATAAGCAGCTTTGTAAATAGATATTTCTTCTACCTTTCATTTAGCCTGGCTTCACCATTGCCAAGGGGGTGGGTAGTTTCATAGGAATGCTTGTGAAGCAGTCATGCTCAAGGCAAGACAGCAAGTCTCATAATTATTTTATTTCTGTCTGAGAGGAAGAACATTGTATTGGAAATATGCTGATCACAAATCCAGAGGAAGTGACCAGGGATACAATATGCGGATTTCTCTCTTCTGACAATCAACTCATACCATAAAATATTCACTAAGAGTACCATTTTCAAGAAAATGCAAATTTCTTCCACCTCCTCTCCCCCCCCCCCCCCTTTTAAAAATATATTCCCAAACTACATTGTTAATTTGCTGCTCGGAGTGCAGTATAGATTTTAGGTTGCTATGGTGATGATTTTAACCCACATCGATGTGACATTAGAAATGCAGCAAAGACCGCAGCTGATATAAGTGCTATAATAATTATCCTTTTGACCTTTGCTTATTATTATTTTTTATCAGGAAGGACTGTTTTGCTTTACCAATAATCAAAATTTGGCTTGAGATATTAGTGGCTGTGTGGTGTTAAAACAAAGATGCTTAGAAGATATATACAGCAACAGAGATTAACTGCTCAAAATATTATGTGGTACCAACAATTGTCATGGGAAGTATTGCCTCAGAAATCAATAAATAATTCCTTACAAGCTCCATGTCGAGATCACATTTCTCATCACAAGAGAACAGGAGGTGAAGCCCTTCAGTTAGTACAAAACATTCAAAATCATGTTGATCTGATCCAGACAGAGTAGTACCTTGCAAACATTTCTTGCAAAACAACAGTTGAGTTGCCTGCACCTCTTGGGAATTAGAATAATGGCTTTTAGCTCTCAATCCTTCATCTTCCCCTTTGGTGCATTGGGTGTAAAGCATGATTTCAGCTGTCCCTGCTATTGCCACATGGTGTTCTTTACTTCTCAGTATGGATTAAAGTGAGATTGGAAACCCTGTGAGAAGATTTATTTTGCTTTATTAGATTTTTTTTTTATCCCACTTTTATTACTTTGTAAAGTAAGTAACTCAAGGCAGTGAACATACCAAGACTCCTTCCATTTTGCTCACAACAACAACACTGTGAGATGAGTTGGGCTGAGAGATAATGACTGGCCCAAAGCACTCAGTTGGTTTTCATGCCTAAGTGGGAATACATTTCATAGTCTCCTGGTTTCTAGGTTACTTAACCCCTACACCAAACTGGCTGTTTAACTACTACACTGAACTGACTCTGGTTGCTTGTGATGGTTTGCAGGCATAAATGGCATGTATTAGAAAAGAGACAGTGATCTGGATTTTAGTTTGCAAATCATTAAGTGGTGGACACTATACAGCTTTCAAATATATTTTCTATAGTGTTGTTTGGGGATAAGGGAAGTCAAGTAATAGTGAGATGTAAATATCAAAACACCATCTATTTTCATTTATATGGATAGGAGAAATAAACATAATCTGGCTAATATTTTGATCTGTTGAAACATATCTTGGGTAATATTCCAGATAGATAGATAGATAGATAGATAGATAGATAGATAGATAGATAGA